CAAGGTGCCTTAAGTGCCCTAAATAAACTTCAGAATCCTCCCCCACACAGGGCAGGGTGTCAGGTGGGCACCTCACTGACTTCCTTACCGACAGTCCCCTAGTCACTCTCAGGGAGTGACCACTGGTGGCCTGGAGATGGTTATGTACTTGATTACCCTTCCATTCCAACAAAGGAGGGATACGTGCAGTTTTGAAAGCCCTTATGAGAGGAAATGTGATAAGCCTTGCAAAACCCAGTCAAACCAGGGCAGTGTGTCAGGAATAGGACAGACCTTTGTGTCCAGTGAAAAGAAATGCATTAGTGCTTTACATGTTTTTAGTTTTTAGGTGAAGAGCTCTGTTTTTGTCTGCTTTTGCTCAGAATTATACCTCCAGTGTTTTCATTGGGCTCGACTCATAGTAGATACTCAGTGAGGATTTATTTAATTGCTGGAAGTTCTCCAGTTTTGCTCATAGCCTAAGACTCCNAGTTAAACATCCTTCAGTGCACTGGACAGCCCCACAATAAGGAGTTATCTTCCCCAATGTCAGTAGTGCCAAAGTTGAAGAACCCTGCTGTAGAGTGAGGTACCCTGGATTCAGATCCTGGCTCTGTCGCTTCCTGACTTGGTGATCTTGATCCAGACTTGGTTTTCATAATGGCTCTACTAAGTAGGCTCTACTGTATCCAGTTTTACACACAAGGAAACGAAAGCATAGGAAGTGACTTGTCTAAGGTTCCATAGTTAGGAATGGCAGGGCTAGGCTCATACTCAGATCTCTGTAACCCTGCATAATCCCCCTTTCCTTGCTTTGTCCTGGCTGGACCTGCTCAGTCTTATATTCTCAACCGATTCCCCTCTAATGAAAGGATAGCCCAGTGAGTATTGCTGAATATCAAATTGCACCCTGCAGGGATAAATCTGTCTAATTAGGTAGGGAGTAGCCCTGGACTTTGTTCTTGATTTGTTCTTACACCAGGACCAGTGGGTTGATAAGGGAAGGAGCTTTAGGTTAGCAGAGAGGATGGGGTATAGGGACTAGAAGGTGAGGTATGGAGGCCACTGGCTTGAAAGAAAATATCTCAGAGCAGGGATTGAGGCTGAAGACAGTCATAACTGTTGTTCTGAATGATCTCTTTCAGGCTTCTTTCCCCTGGGGCAGAAGAGCAGCGTTAGTTCTATCAGCTCCAGGACTAGCTATAACATTGCTGAATCCAGTTCAGGAACATAGTAGGACTGGATCGGAAGGCAAGAGACTTAGCTGGAATATTCACACACACCCTTAAGGACAATATGTAAAAGAAATTGACTCAGCCTGGGAATCAGAGGCTTGAAGTCCAAAATCCTTCCTCTGCTGCTAATTTCCTAAGTGATCTTGGACAAGTGCTTGCTCTTATCAGCCACAATCTGTTTTTTAATACGAATCGCTACCACTTACCAGGTTTATTATGTGCATTATCTCTGTTAATCCTGTCAGTGGTCTGGCCAATAATCTAGGTGTTACTCCCCATTTCACAGATGAGAAAAGTATTAAGTTAAATGATTCACCAAGGCTAGGTAGTGAATGGCAAAGCAGAGATGCCAGCCCAGTTCTCCCTGACCCCTAACCTGCATTATACTAGTTTCATTAGAAAGCCTTTTCCAACACTCAAGAACCCACACCCACTTACGTCTGAGAGTGGTTGGTAGTCAAAAGTTTATGAGGCCCTTGAAGTGGATCGTGTCCATGCACAGTGACATGCAGCCTCTGTGACGTTCCCTCCACGATGCTTCTGGTCGAACAATGAGATTTAAAAATCAGTCCTCGGTGCATCTACCAGCCTCTCAGCCACACTACCTAGAGCCTAATCAGCTCAGGAGCTGTGACATCTTTTGAGTCGATGTGTTTTTATGGCTGGGAGTGGACATACCTGGATTTGAACTTCAGTTCTATGACTTATCAGCTTTGAGACCTTGGGTAGATTGCTTTCCTCTGAGCCTTGGTCTCCTTATTTATAAAGAGGAATAACACTTACTTCAAATAGTTATGATAAGAAAAAGAGATATGGATAACAGGTATTATGAGAATAAGAGATGTGTATAACAGGTATTGTGAGAATAAAATATGGATAACAGGTGCTTGGCATTCAGTTCAGTAAATGGTAGTTTCATGAAAGGAAGGAAATGCTGCAAGGGAACTAAATGTTGCTTTGCCGAGTTTCAGTGATCCCAAGCGGCCCCCACCAGGCTCCCCAAACTCCTGTCCCCTCTTGTACCTTTCCCAGGATCAGCTTCCTGAACCTTTCATCAAAATTTTATGATTAAATGAACATGTGTTATATGCAGAGAAAGGAATGGAAAGAAATTGGAGTGGGTCGAGATGAGTGGGGTTCCCCTGGGGAAAAAAAATTGATTTTTTTCCCCCCTTGTCCTATTTTCTTTGAGTCATGCTGGCAGAATTGACATTACCCAAATGTTTGTGGGAGATGCAAGGGAAGCTTTCTAGGTCCTTCAGCTTTAGAGGAAGGAGGGAGAACAGACAAGCATTCTTCCAGCAAACTTACTGATGTAACCTGTCCTTGATATATGTTAGCTATAGCTTCCTTTCCCACAAGCATTTCCTTCTGGGTTTTAAGTGTCCCAGACTAGTACAGCTTTAAGGTCAATCCTATGTTTCCCTATAAGCCCCTACTTGTTGCATTTATCTTAACTGTTTGCAAGGTGCCTTAAGTGCCCTAAATAAACTTCAGAATCCTCCCCCACACAGGGCAGGGTGTCAGGTGGGCACCTCACTGACTTCCTTACCGACAGTCCCCTAGTCACTCTCAGGGAGTGACCACTGGTGGCCTGGAGATGGTTATGTACTTGATTACCCTTCCATTCCAACAAAGGAGGGATACGTGCAGTTTTGAAAGCCCTTATGAGAGGAAATGTGATAAGCCTTGCAAAACCCAGTCAAACCAGGGCAGTGTGTCAGGAATAGGACAGACCTTTGTGTCCAGTGAAAAGAAATGCATTAGTGCTTTACATGTTTTTAGTTTTTAGGTGAAGAGCTCTGTTTTTGTCTGCTTTTGCTCAGAATTATACCTCCAGTGTTTTCATTGGGCTCGACTCATAGTAGATACTCAGTGAGGATTTATTTAATTGCTGGAAGTTCTCCAGTTTTGCTCATAGCCTAAGACTCCAAGGGGCTGAATATAGGCATCTAGAAAACTACCCCATGGTGGAAATTAAGCACTGGATGGAGATTTGAAACCTAGGTCATCTCTAATCCTTTGGTTATGAGATCAGGCAAAACAATCTCCAAGGAAGGCTCAGAATGTTTATTTGCGAAATGTGTGGGTCTCATAGCTTGGGCATGGTCTGCCTGTTGCAAGTGCCTACCCATTTCTTATTGGCTGGGTGGTGGCTACACTGCTGCTACTACTACAAAACTATTATTTACTGCACAGTTAATTGTATACCTTGCTTGGTACTATACTAAGCCCTTTATGCACACAATTTCATTTCCTTTTTGCAGTAACCTTGTAATGAAAACACAGTTTTGAAGCCCCTTTTCTTAGATAAGCTGAGAACTAAAGAGGTTAGGTAACTTGCCCAGTTCTCCACGGTAAGTGGTAGAGCTGGGATTCGAATCTGGAAAGCCGGACTCCTGAGCCCACTGTTCCCAGTTCTGCCATGTGACTAATGCGGTCTTGGTTTCTGGACTCATCTCTGTTACTCTCTGAGATGACTATCGCTACTAACTGTAGCATTCCACATTTAGTCCCTGCAAGAATGAGGTACACAGCTTATTTTCTAAGCGAGAGAAGTTACAGGTTCATTTGCCCAGAAGTTTCAAGAAGGGCTATTTAGTGTCTGCAGTCAGATTCCTTCAAATCTTACCAATCCTTTTCTTAGTCTTTTTATGTCATGAAAGATTCTTCATCTTTTCAAAGTACAGTTTGAAAACTGAATACTCTGTTAACACTAGTACTAGTTATGATTGTTAATGCTGTTCCTGATTGCTATTTGTTGTAATTTTAGGAACAGTCTTTCATTGCACACCTGCCTGTTTCCAGGCTAAGCACTTCATATGCATTATCCCTAGTTGTCACACTAGCTTCTTTATAAAATAAGGAAACATGTTAGTGGGGTTGAATAACTTGCTCACTGTCCCACAGTGTGTAAATGTCAGTGATCATTTGATCCCAGCTCTGTCTGACTTCATGGGTGTTGTGTTTGTGTGTGTGTTTGTGTATGTGTGTGGTGGTTTTTTTTCTGCTACTCTGGTCATTTCTGTCATGGACTAGGGGAAGCTGCACGGTGCCAGAAGTGGCTAGATCAGGCTAGGATGTGACTACAAAATTTTCCTGCTTAAGGGGTAGATTCTCATCTGGAGCTGGAGAGCTGGGCCGGCATCAGGTGGGGTGTGCAGTATTAGTCATGAGGTCAAAGGGATGTGGCACACTGAGGTGACATGAGGTGAGGGGTCAGGAGTTAACAGTACAAAGTGAACAAGAAACATGTCCACAGTTTCATGAAGGCAGCCAATATTATAAATAGCATGTTGGGGGTTCATTCAGATTGGTTTCAGATTTTGTAGCTGGCATTAAATGGACAGCTAATTTAAAGACCTGGAATGGTGGGACAATTCCTTTTACCTGTCTGGTCTTTTCAGGGAAACTAAATAATAATGGAGTTTCCACCTGAATCATCCTCAGTATGAACAGTAATGACAACACGTACCCTTCTGGAGGAGAGGAGCCTTATCTGACTATCATGTATCTCCATTAAGGCTAGGACCCTGAATTCCCAAGTTATAGAAATGGGAGACATGGGTCAGGCTTTTTCCAGGTCTGAGGCTATCTCCATGCCTGATGCTGTAGTGATGGGAGCTCATCTTTCCTTGGCAAAGCTTTGTCTTCTGCCTCAGAGAGCCTAGCAAAGGTGCAGATGGCTGAGATAACTCCGAGGGCAGATGTGCACATAGTAAGTCCATTTTTTAAGGTGGATGGCTTGGCAGGGAGGCAGGCAGGAAGCTTTTTAATTGAAGGAAGTAGTGTGGTATTCCAGAAATGCAGGGGAAGAATTTCTTGGTATTTTTACAAGTTGGCAGGCTTGTTTAATGAGCTGATCTGCAGTGCCAGCTCCGGGAAGCACAGATGTCCCTATGCTTTGTAAGGTAACATGCTCTGGATCCAAACACCAACTGTCGCCCTCAGTCTGTTGTCTCAGATGATGGGAGGACTGGAGCTATTCTCAAAATACAAATTGAGAAGGTTTGCATGGCTCCTGAGTTCAGGTTTCTATCAGTGTTTCTGTACTATTGCCCAGACCCAGGGCCTCCCAGCACTCAGCATGCATAGTTTCAGATGTTTATAGGAGACCTTACAGGTAGGTGATAGGTGGTCAAGTGCTATTTTGCTGAGGCATAGGTTTGAGTTGTAACAGGTTACAAAGCTGCCATGTGGGAGTGGGTCACTCAGCTTATAAATCACATGATGGCAACTACATCTCATAACATTATTGTTCCTTCTTCCTTGTGGGGAAATTATATGCTATAAGGCTGCATTTCCCAGGGCACAATCTAGAGAACATTTGTTAAGAAGTGTTAGATGACAGCTAAAAAGTATTGCTTCAAGTAATGTTGGATCAAGCAAAGTTAAAAATATCTGTTCTGCAGGGATCTGCAGGGTTCCAGCTGTGTGGCCTTGAACCAGTCTTCCTGAGCCTTAGTTTCCTCCTCTGTATACTAGGATAATAGTACTGGTACCTACTTCAAACGGCCATGATGGGGATTAAATGAGATTACATGAAGCATTTAGCATGTTATTGAACACGCAGTAGATACTAGATATATACTATTTCCTGTCCAGTGAAAAAGGTACAGGTTTCAGGGCGGTGGGAGTGACATGAGATAAATTGTGCGTGTCGGCTGTGATTTGTCAGATGCAATCGAAAGCCAGATATGGGGGAAATCTGTAACATGTATCTCTGCATTGACTCCCCTTCTTTATGCCTGGAAAGAGAGTTGATGGCATTTGCAAAGGTTTCATCCACTTGCCTCACTGTCCTTAAAACCAAGCTAACCCCTCCTCTTCCTCGGTGGTTGAGCATCTGCATGTCATGAAACTGCACAGGTGGCTCGGTAGGATTTGCATTTCAGAAGAGATGAATTTATCCATGCGCCTCACCTTGCTAAATGTACTCATTCTAATTCGGGGTATAAATTGGCAATGGCGTAAGGCTGCAGAGCACCGAGACTCTGGTTCTATTTCACGAGCATATGTGGACTGAGGACGGTGGGAGTACTCATGGCATGTACTGTGTGAAGCCGGGGTGTGCCAGCCTAAAATAAATTGTCCTGGGAAAGCGCTACCATTTTTAAACTCATCTGGGCTCGAGTCTTTGGCTAGCATAGCTCTACCACTTCCCCACCCTCATCTACTCAGTTTATAAACCTTAGTGGCTGTACTTCTGGAATATTGCTCAAATGTGTCTTCTTTCCATGTCCACCGCCTGCTCGCTATGTCAGGCTCCCCAACACTTCTGCCAGTCGCTGCACAGCTTCCAAACCAGTTTCTCTGCCCTTTTCCCCACTCCGTTTGAACTTCGCTCATATCAGCTCCAAAACACGCATTGCTTCACTCTGCCCATTAAAATGCCCTTCAAATGGCTCATTTTGGCTGTGAAGACTTCCTATAATCGTGCCCCACTTTCCAAACCAGTTAGTATAAACCCCCTGTATTCTTCCAGAATTTTAACCTAAGGATGAGAGGAAAGAAAACAGATTTACTTCAGACCTTTTTGGTGCTGAGTCTTAGCGTTTTATACACTACACTCATCTCACTTGATGCTGACATTAACCTCGCGAAGGCAGGAGAGAGAAGAAACAGGCCCAGAGAGGCTATGTGTTCTCTATTCTCTTTCAAATTCACTAGCTCTGTCCTTCCCCATGCTTTCTAACCTTAGTTAAGACTGCCCTGTGCCTGGAACACCTTTTCCCCCACCTCCGCATATCTGTGCGTCCTTCCAGGTCCCTGTCAAAGCCATCTCCCCTCAGGAAAGTCCTCTTACCCTTCAAATTAGAGTGAAACCCTCTTAACCGCCATCAAACTTAGTTTATATCTACTTTCTGCCCTGATTACTACTTACCTTTATTTTTGTCTCCTTTCCTAAATTTTGAATATCTGAAGGACAGAACTTGTATCCTGAAAACCTTAGTATCTAGTACAGTACAGGGTACCTAGTCTTAGATGGGCGCATAGGTGAGTAGTTATGAGGATGCATGAATGGAAAATACATGTGTTTTTCTGATCTAATGTTTTGCTAATCATCATCAATTTCTGTTTCTCTGGGTGATTCCTAGGTCCCCAAACGTAACACGATTAAAAAGCCTCCATGCGGTTGCCCACACAGTTCTCTTTGCTTAATGCTTTTGTCCCTCATTGCCTTGTTTATCTCATGACATATCTCAGGAGCGGCAGTGCTTCTGGGACGCTTTCCCCACAGGTAGAATCTGTTACTGCATCCACTGTGCTCTGGCAAAACTTCCTGTACTTAATTTTTGGATGCCTTTCTCCTAATACGAATCATAAGTCGGGGACAAAATATAAAAATGATCACCAGCATTTATCAAGCTACCACTTGCCAGGTGCTGTACTGAGTGGGTCATATTCATTATGTTATTTAACCCTTCCAAAACCACGTAACGTAGGCACCATTGTTATTTCAGTTTTATAGATGGGTGATGGGGAAACTGAGCTTTGGGAGGCTTAGATTACTTCCTTCAGGTCACACACCTAAGTAAGTATCAGAGACTGGATGAGTGATTGTAGGTATTCTCTAAATGTTCCTTGAGTGGGTTAATGTATCGAGGCACTGGAATAATGGGCTCCTTTTTCTCTTTAGCAGAACTTGACCTTGAGGAGCATGACTGGTAAGCTGTTCCGTTCTGGGCTGTGCTAGCAGGACCCTGCAAAGGAAGAGCGATGGCCACGGCAGCAGCGGCAGCTTCTCACTTGAACCTGGATGCCCTCCGGGAGGTGCTGGAATGCCCCATCTGCATGGAGTCCTTCACGGAGGAGCAGCTGCGGCCCAAGCTCCTGCACTGTGGCCACACCATCTGCCGCCAGTGCCTGGAGAAGCTGCTGGCCAGTAGCATCAACGGGGTCCGCTGTCCCTTTTGCAGCAAGATCACCCGCATAACCAGCCTGACGCAGCTGACGGACAACCTGACGGTGCTGAAGATCATCGACACAGCCGGGCTCAGCGAGGCCGTGGGGCTGCTCCTGTGCCGGTCCTGCGGGCGGCGGCTGCCCCGGCAGTTCTGCCGGCCGTGCGGCGTGGTGCTGTGCGAGCCCTGCCGGGAGGCGGACCACAAGCCGCCCGGCCACTGCACGCTCCCGGTGAAAGAGGCGGCCGACGAGCGGCGGCGGGAGTTTGGT